CAGTTGCTCAGTTGCTCAGTTGCTCAGTTGCTCAGTTGCTCAGTTGCAGGATTGGGTTGGGGGTTTTATTGGCACAGGTTTATTTGTATTTCTACTTTCTGTTCAAAGAAGACCATTGCACTTGTCTTTTAACAAATGATCCTCAATAGCAACTAATTCTTTTAAAACATTGCGGGGGGAGGGGGAGGGAGAACACTGTACTAGTGTCAGGTCTGCATAGAATTCCAGCCACAGGAGTCAGTACAGCACTCTAAGTGATAAAAGGAGATCCCAGTCTTTCCCTGAACCATTTAATAACTATTAACATAAATTCATTTCATTGACTAACACAAATTCAGCCTAAGTAGTGTTTTCATGTTCACCCATACTTTCCCTTAGACTCTGAGGCTGAGTCTCCATCCAGACAGACTCCCTTTCTTAGGCTCTGAGAACATGGTTGCTAGATATGCATATTAAGTTAGAAATATCAAAACGGGCAACTATAATATTTTCTTCTATTAGGGGATATTGAATGAAAGATTGAGAACACAAGGATTTGAACAATGTTGTACAAATCAAACTCTTGTTGATTGTTTTTACCTCAGTAGTTATTCATCTCATTATGATTGTTCTGTGCTTTGTGGGGAAGAAAAAGGAGCACATCAGTGTAAAAGACCAACTCATAAAAGGATGAAATGGAAAAGGAAGACTAAATTCCTAAAATTAAATGTAACTCTCAATCTTTAGAGGCGTCTGTACTTTGTCAGTGCCATGTAAGTCAAATGGGATGTGATCTGTGTGATGAAGGTCCTCACATATGAGGAGGCCCTGGGGTTCACCCTCGTCATCCTTTCCATCTTTGGGGCACTTGTGGTCTTGGCAGTCACTGTTGTGTATGTAATCCACAGACACACTCCATTGGTGAAAGCCAATGACCGGGAGCTGAGCTTCCTCATTCAGATGTCTCTGGTTATCACGGTGCTGTCATCCATGCTGTTCACAGGCAAGCCATGCAACTGGACCTGCATGGCCCGCCAGGTCACTCTAGCACTGGGCTTTTGCCTTTGTCTGTCTTCCATTCTTGGAAAGACTATTTCACTCTTTTTTGCATATGTGATTTCCTTGTCCAAAACCCGGCTAATAACCAGTCGCCCCATTTATCAAAAAGTCATTGTGCTGATCTGTGATGTAGGGGATATTGGTATATGTACAGCTTACTTGGTGTTGGAACCTCCAAAGATGTACAAGAACATTGAACCTGAAAATGTAAAGATCATCTTTGAATGCAATGAAGACTCTATAGAGTTTCTGTGCTCCATATTTGGGGTTGATGTTCTTCTGGCTCTGCTGTGTTTTCTTACAACCTTTGTGGCTCTCCAGCTGCCAGATAACTATTATGAAGGGAAATGCATCATTTTGGGGATGCTGGTCTTTTTTATTTTCTAGATCTCTTTTGTCCCTGCTTACTTGAGCACCAAAGGCAAAGTGGCTGTGGAAATATTTGCCATTTTGGCATCCATCTATGGTTTGTTAGGCTGTCTATTTCTTCCCAAGTGTTTCATTATCTTGCTGAGGCCAAAGAGGAACACTGATGAAACTGTTGGTGGAAGAGTCCCCACTGTTGACAGGAGCATCCAGCTAACCTCAGCTTCTGTGAGCAGTGAGCTTAACAACACCACAGTGTCCACTGTTCTGGATGAGTAGAACCGTGAGCTCCAAGTGACCAGCAAAGCTGGATGGTGCCCTGGCTCAATCTTCCTTTTATGTTGCTTCTGAAGCAGTTGCTTGATGTTATAGTGTAATGTTGGATATTAGGCCTTTCTTAATGTGGTGAATAAAATCTAAGTCTGTAAAGATACCATTTAGTAGGTATCATAATAGGACATAATTCAAATTAGAACTTTTCATTAGAATATTTCATTGGGATTTTAGAGTAGATATGTAAAGTGTGCAGTAGGGTAGGATATGACAGATGTGACTTATCAGAAATGATAAGAAACGGTTCAGTAACACAGTAACAAAACTTACTTTCTTCTTTAACTCATAACAATAGGAGAGTCATCTGAAGACTCAACTGGGTATTGCCTAGATCAGATTGGGCTGTTGGCAGTATCTGTAAGAAA